TTCTGCGAGCAGTAACACCGGCCAGATATGCAACGCACTCGTTGATATCTGGAAGGCTGAGACTGTGGACCACGCCGTCATTCTGAAGTACGAGGACAACGCACCTGTCATCCGCATACCCGACCCTTCCCTCACATTCCACGACGGCACGTTCGTCTTCAAATACGATCACATCACCATACTGGTGCCGATCGATCCTCTTCTCTGCCCATGGCACCCCGTCAAGACCGGGACGGCGTTCAAAGACTTTATCACCTTCCTCGGCCTTCTCTGGGACTTGCGACACCGCCGCGTCTCTTTGCCAGAGGAGAAACACCAAAAGTACCTTGCGCACGTCCGAGACATGCTCACGGGCATGCGCGCCAACCTCGCTTTCTCCCTCCTCGCCTTGCAGGAGCTCCATGGCACATTATGCCATCTCTGCTTCCTCTACAGAGAGGGCCGTTCGCGCGTCTCCGTGTTCTCAAATGCCATGGCGGGTTTCAAAGGCAATTCACTCACCCGTCGCCATCTTTCAAACACGGCGCTGAAGACCCTCATTTGGTGGGAGAAGAAGCTCGATGACGCTTCTTTCTTCCGCCAACTCGCCCCGATCGGCGCTCTACGCGATCTTGGGATCTACGTCGACGCCAGCACTTCATGGGGAATTGGGATCATCATCGGTTCCCACTGGTACGCGATTCCCCTCAAAACAAACTGGAAGGCACTTCTTCCCGGCCACGACATCTGTTGGCTAGAGGCCATCGCTATCAAGCTGCTGTTTATGTTTTTAGACCAGCTCAATATCCACGACATGCACCTACTCGTGCGTTCTGACAACGAGGGTGCGATCGGCGCACACACAAAGGGGCGCTTGCCAAATGCGGGCATCAATTTGTGCGTACGCCGGACTTACGCGATCTCTGCGGGTCTTTCAATTACACCCAAGATCATCTACGTCCCCACCGACGATAACCTCGCCGATGCTCCCTCTCGCGGCGAGTCCGCGTCTCACACGCCCGAACACAACCGTCTCATCCGGAGCTTCCGGCTGCCTGCCGAGCTCAACCTCGTCTTCGTCGATGAGCTCCTCACCGTGGCTTGAGTGGGACGCGGACGCTCTCACCTTCGGCGACCCACTTCTCGCACTCGCCGCTTCCGTCGTACCTCGCACTCTCTCGTCCACCTCCCCACCAGTTCCCGGCCTGCGGCCCGATCCACCGTTCTCCCACAATCTGTCTTTCACGTCGTAGGCACTGACTCTCTCTCTTCTCTTCACCCTGCTGACCTGACGCAGCTCTTTCGTACCCTCCGCAGCACTTGGGCCGTCTCACGCTCTCTTCCCAGTCGCATCGAACTTGCCTGCCAACTCGGACTTTCCTGATGACTTGTACTATCCGTGCGTCATCCTCTTTTCGCCCCCACGCTAGCTGACGAGTCGCAGCTTACCTGCACTCCCTAGTTTCCCATCCACGCTCACGCGGTCGCAACTCGACACCGTCGGCCCATCCTCTTGTCTCGTAGACGCTGCGCTGGCTTTCTTAGCGCCCTCAATACCGTTGTGCGTCACACCTCGCGACATAAACACGCTCACTCACCTTCTCTAGTTTGGCCACTTCCGTGCGTCCACCCGCACTCCGCCTCACATCCACCGATTTCGCCGTTGTCGCTCCGAATCTGCTCGCGGCTGCACGCGCACTGCCTGTACCTCCACACGTCCACCTCACCCCGCCTCCGCACGCCCCTGCCACCTCAGCAGCACCTCGTCTGCCCGATCCTGTCACTGCGCCCACTACATACATGGACGAGCGACCCACCTCCCTGTCGCACACCTCAGATCCCAGGGGCGCACTCATCGACGTCCGCAAGGCGGCTTCCCGCACGCTCCCACACAAGAAGGCGCGAAAAGCCGCTCGCAAGAACGCCCTTGCGCCTAGCGAGCACCGCCCTCACGTACCTGCGGACCGTCGTCTCCTTTTCTGGACGACGCCGCACTCGATCACCTCTCACCGGGCCTTGGAAGACGCCGGCATCTCGCGCGCTCTCCAAGCCAAGATCTTCGAGGGCTTGCTGGGCACACACGTCCCCGAGACTCGCGAGTCCTACGGCGCCGGTCTCCTTCGCTTCACGCAGTTCTGCGACCGCGAACATATCGGCGAGATGGCGCACATGCCAGCGGACTGTTTCCTGCTCGCAGCTTTCGTCGTGGACGCAGTGGGCTCTTGCTCCAGGGGGTGCGTGCAGAACTGGCTCAACGGCCTACGTCTGTGGCACACTTTCAACGATGCTCCGTGGCACGGCGACGAGGGCTGGCTGCCTGCTCTCAAAAAGTCGGCTGACAAGGGCGGCGTCTCGTTCAAGCACCCTCCCTGCGGCCCCATCATGCCGGAGCACATGTGGGCGTACCGCGCCTCTCTGGATCTGGAGACCCCGCGCGGTGCTTCGTCCTGGTCCGCAGCGACGACCGCTTTCTGGGGTTGCCGCCAACTCGGCGAGCTCCTGATCCGCAGCATGGCCAAGTTCAGCCTGCTGCGCGATACTTGTCGCTGCACGCGCGTCTCGTTTTCTGTCGTCAACGGGCGGGACGTCATCACGATCCACCTCGTCTGGACGAAAACAATGGGCCCTGCTGGAGGCGAATGCTTCCTCACCGCTGTCCTCGGTGTCGACGCCGACCTTTGCCCTGTCCAGGCCTTCAGGAATCATCTCCGCGTCAATCACTCACCACTGCTGAACACGCCGCTCTTCGCGTTCCGCACGCCTGCTGGCTGGTATCATCTTACCAAGGACGATTTTTTGCGCTCCTCCTCCGCCGTCTACCGCACTGCCGGGCTCGACCTCGTCTTCGGACACAGCTACCACATCGGAGGCTCGCTGGAACTGCTCGCGGCCGGCATCGCACCCGAGGTCGTCATGAAGATTGGGGGTTGGACCTCCCTATGCTTCCTCATTTACTGGCGCCGCCTGGAACGCGTCCTTCCCCTTGCTGTCACTCGTGCATGGGACGCTCGCATCGCCGATTTCGCACGCGCCCACGGCCACTCAGTAGACGTCGAGTCCATTGACTTTGACACTTAGATATCTTGCTATCGCGCACTTGTCGCGCTCCTCCTTTTCACGTCTCGTCACTCGTATTCACATCTTGCCATCTCACATTTGTATTTGTACAGCGCATTAACACGAAGCTTTTCTTTTTGTCTTCTTTTCGTCACTCCGCTCTGTTTGTTGGGCCTCGGGCCCGCTTCTCTCGCCCTCGCGTGAGCCTTCGGCTCTTGGAGCTTTGCTCGGGTGGGTTGCTTCGGGTCTTTCCATCCTGACCCTTAGTGGCCCTTGTGTACGGGTTCGGCCCCGCCCGCGTTCCTTCTCGCTCCGATCCGCTCTTCCCCGCTGCCCTCTCGCAGTCCGGGAAGTCCCGATCAGCCGGGACGGCCGAACCCCCCCGCACACACCAAAAAGCACCAGTCGTTCCTCCCCCTCTTCTGTTTTTCTGTCCGTCATAGTGACTTCTTCTCTTCTCACAAATCCTCCCCACAAGCACATATATCTATCTTGCCAAGCAGTGAAACTATGTACGTCGTTAACCCTCAACGGCAGTTGAAGCTCTTATCACAAGAATCAAAAAAAGACGCGTTCCACATCACCCGGCTTGCTCGCCAACTATGGAACACAGTTACCGGAGGTACACCGCTTTCACAAGTGGATTTTTAACAGGATACCGACTGAGGTTCTTCTTACAAGATTATGTACGGTGCAACCGCTGTCGGAATCTGCGGTAATTCAATTACTATCGTCACTGTCCCTCAATCATACGATCCTTTCGCATCTGTTGGCCCGCGCAGCTGCCACATTTACCGATTCAAAAAATCAGCTGGTCTCGAGGCATTCCTAAACCAGTATCACTACACAACATAACTTACGAGGGAGGCACGAGCAGGTAAATGACATTGAGCGTGTTGCACGGACACGCGCGACTAGTTGCGTCTGTCTACGAGACTAACATTCCTCTAATCCTATTCTCCCCTCACTCGATTCCAAATAAAAAAAATCTCTTGAAAAACAGGCCCTAAGATCTGAGCGACGCTCCAACCGAAGAACTGAACCCTCCAAGCAAGGCAGGGTTGCGCACGGTGCGCCTCGGATTAACCTATACAGGTGAGCGATGAGTAAGCCATCCCGGAGCTCCTCGTTCGACTCGAGGCCCTGCCATAAACCAGGAGCGCGACATTTTTTTTACCCCGCTGCATGAGCACACCTCGAGTCAACTCAACTTGAACTCAACGGCGAGTCAACACGAATGAAATAAAATTCATCCACTTATGATGTACCCATTTCCCGCTCACCCGGTCTCTTTTGAAAAATAAATAAATAAGAGAAATAGGCTCTGAGCGACGCTCCTACCGATGAACTGAACCCTCCAAACAAGGCAGGGTGCGCCTCGGGCTAACCTTCAATGTTCGTTCGGCGTTAAGTAAGCCACCCCGAAGTTCCTCGTTCGATTCAGGGCTCTGCCATTCATCAGAGGGTGCGACATTTTTTTTCCCGCTGCATGAGCACACCTCGAGTTAACTCAACGGCGAGTCAGCCTCGAACAAGATATATCGAATACCCTCATTATAATGCATCCATTCCCCGCCCCCAGATTCCAATTTTTTAAAAAGATGAAAATATAAAAAAGCCAGGCAGCTACCGAAGAACCGAACCCTCCAAGCAAGGCAGGGTTGCGCACGGTGCGCCTCGGATTACCTATACAGGTGAGCGATAAGTAAGCCACCCCGGAGCTCCTCGTTCGACTCGAGGCCCTGCCATAAATCAGGAGCGCGACATTTTTTTACCCCGCTGCATGAGCACACACTCGAGTCAACTCAACTTGAACTCAACGGCGAGTCAACACGAATGAAATAAAATTCATCCACTTATGATGTATCCATTTTCCGCTCACCCTGTCTCTTTTGAAAAATAAATAGATAAGAGAAATAGGCTCTGAGCGACGCTCCTACCGATGAACTGAACCCACCAAGCAAGGCAGGGTTGCGCACGGTGCGCCTCGGGTTAATCTTCGGAGATCATTGTTTTAAGCCATCCCGGAGTTCCTCGTTCGACTCGAGGCCCTGCCATATTGGAGGTGGCTCTCTCTTTTTGCTTAATGCATGGGCGCAACTCAACTCAACTGACTCCGACTTGACGAAGGAAATGAAATATATCCAATACCCTCACTATAATGCAACCATGTAGCCCGAGACATTATAGCTATCCAAGTATCCCGAGACAACGAAGTTAAATACGCAACTCTAACAAGCAGCAATATCGACATCACATCAACCTTAAGCACCGCCCTGCACAACTGCGCGCCAGAACGCCTCCGGCGCGCGCCAGTAGAGACTCTGCGCGTCCGCCGTCCAGGGCACGAGCGTGATTGCAAAGAGGACGATGCCGAAGATGTAGGCGGCGATGATGTCTGTTTGGGTGCACGGTGAGTATGAGTATGAGTAAGGTGAGGATGAAGAAGGGGCGCGAGAAGCGAGGGAATCGGAAAGAGGAAAGGGGAAAGAAGAGGATACGTTCGAAAGGACAAGAGGGTCACAAGGTTGGAGCAAAAGCAGAGCCGATGATATAAAGAAAAAATAACGGCACTCACTCTGCTGCTGCGCCGGGAAGCGCCGCATCTCGCTCTGCAGCTGCGGGATGCCCATGATGTTGCAGAAGACGTGCGCGGCGAGGGGTGGGAGCAGGGATGAGGTGCGCAGGAAGAGGTAGGACGTGTGGGCGCCGAAGAGCGTCGTGTACGCCGTCTGGAAGACTGCGAGAATTTCGAGTCAGGGCAGGGCGTAGGCAGAGGTGAGGAGGAAAAGGGACAAGGACGCACTGGTGGACATCGCCGCGCGCTTGGCGGCGTCCGCCGTCCGCCCGTAGCGGTTGTAGGCGTCCCATGCGTGGTGGACGTGCGCTGGAACGTGTGCATTAATCAGCAAACAGAAATCCCCAGCGCGTCCAGAGCGCAGAAGCAGACACACCCAACCCAAACACAAGCGGCGCGAACGCAATCATCTTCCAGCGCGCCGCACCACCCATCGCGTACACAGCCAGTACGCACGCGCGAAACACGACCTCCTCCGTGAGCGGACCCTAAAACCCACGCAGCACATCAAGGTAAGGTAAGAATTTATGTTTAAGTGTGCATTCAATGGGAGGAATGAGACATCACACGCACCCAGACGTAGTTGCGGAACCCGATCCACGTCCAGAACATATCGAAGAAATGGTGGTCGAGCGAGAATCGTGCCTGGAACGGAAGCGTTCCAGCGAGGTAGCTCCCGTAGAGCGGCCCCAAGAATAGGAGCGGCGTCTGCAAGCATGAAAGAATGCTGCCGGGCCAGCGCACCCCCAGTAGCGTTAGCATCCCCGCAAGGGAGTGGTTAAACTAGCCGTGAGGTAAGTGGCGGCGGGGTGTCAGAAAAAATTTGGGATCTCACGGAGGGCAATGTGGAGCGCGCGACGAGCAAGTAGACGATGCCGCAGTTGAACAAGGTGGCAAACGTTGCGGCCGTTAAGCGCGCGCGAATAACGGCGGGATCGTCCCTGCTCCCGGGTTGCACATGACGCCGCGCGTCCGGTGTCGCCGAAAAGCGTAATCTCGCGTTTTTCGCGATGTAGAGCGACCCGACGTACGAGGAGGAGAAAAGGAGTGCGAGGAGATGGGAGGAAATCATAGAGAGCGGATGCAGCGGCGCCTGGATGGGTGGCATTGTGCGGGATGAGACAAGGACAAAAGAAGACAATTGAGGCACTGCCACGTTGTTGTGCGATGGCCTTTGATCCAAGCTTGACATAGGGGTGACCCGTTTTGGCCATGCAGTTCAATCGACTTAATTTCGTTTAGAGAGGTTGAATTAGTTGAAACTGTTGGAGACCAGCAGAAGCAAGTTTAATCTTGAGCTGAGTATGATAGGAGACCATGCTGAAGCCTCGGGAGTCGGCATCAGCAAAATATAACGTCTCTGGCATGTATGGGGGGTATCGTGGTGTTTTTGCTCGATCCTTCGTCAAATCACATGTTCAGGAAACAGGATCGAAACTGCCGATATATTTCCTTTCTTATTTTCCGGTAGTACGTGCTGCCATCCATAGGTCATGTTTGATCCATTACTGACCATCGTCCAGCCCCCAATACAATCAACGCCCCATGAGGGCCTAAGCATCATGTCGCCACACGTTCACAGCCCACACGCAACCACGGGAGTCAGTACTGCATTAAGCGACATTCCTCCCCTGGTATTTCAAAATGATCTTATTGTTTCATTGTAGAGCAGTTAACTCGTAAAGAGAGTGATAATTAGGGTGATAATAAATCCGACTCGTACGAATACCTAGTCTCTCGTAGACAGACGCTCTATATACTCCAGCTCGTACCTCGCTATATAGAACGAATACCACTCGCTGTTCAGTTGTACCTGAGAATCCACGACCCACAAGTTACGAGTAAGAATTGCGTATCACTTGTTTACAAGAAAATACTGAGAATCCCGCGGGCAGTCGCAAGCGGCATCAGAGCCTTGACCTCATCTCTGAATGGGTCCATGTAGTTTCGTCTGTTGACCAACGAGAACCGCTTCAAATTACGGAAGTGTGGCGCCGCCAGCGCGTCATCGAGCGCAATCCACTGCGAATCCCCTGTTTCCACGCCCTTCACGACAACATCGATCGCATTCCACTGCTGGGATGAAGGCATAACGGCGAGCATTTCGAGTATTTGGGGCGGATCTGTACAGCTGAACCACATGTTCTTGAGTTTCGGCGTGTACTTGAGGATCCGGTCGTTAAGAGCTACTTGATCTGACTTTGTGTCAGTCGCAAATGGACGTAGGTTTCACCGTCACTCACCTTCCCAATTCAAGCCAAACATGTCCAGATCCATGGACTCCAATTCCTGTCCACAACATCGGAAATAATCCTCGATGGCGGCGCTGTCTTCCTCGCGCTCCAGGTTCGCCGAGAATTTGACCGATTTGAGAAGTGGTATGACAGGAAGAGAGCGAAGCCAAGAGAGGAATAACATCGCGGGCTCGTGGACGTGCAGCTCCAAATGCGCGAGGGGAGGAGGGCCGACACGGTGGATGAGTTCATGGACGTCACTAGACTCGTGACCAGTCTGCCTACGCCGTTCCAACAAGGCGGGCTTGTTGCCGTAGGCAGACTGGTACTTCTCGGAAGTGTCAATCGAGCTGGGGCGGAGTTTGAAATTAAGTCGTTCATTGAGTGAGACCGATGACGCAATGAGCCGCGGCAATTCCGGAGATCACGGTCCGAAGTTGATTTCCACTAAAACTATCCTCAAATTTTACGGCGTTCTGTACCATAAAGAGGAAAATTAAGGAGGCCAAATGAAAGGGATAATTCTTTTATTTATTAGCCCAGCTTCAACCAAAAAATAAGTTTAAAAACTGAGCATAAACGGATTAAGATTGTGAAAAAGCCACTTAAATTTCAAACTCCGCCCCAGCTCGATTGACACTTCCGAGAAGTACCAGTCTGCCTACGGCAACAAGCCCGCCTTGTTGGAACGGCGTAGGCAGACTGGTCACGAGTCTAGGACGTCACTGCGGATAGGCGAGTGGGCCCCCAGATCGACAGAGTGTCCATGGACGGGACGCAAGCCAATAGGGCAAGGATGACATCCATCGGCAAGATTTCGATCGGAATTTCAATGTCCAAGCGGGAAAGGGACAGCTCGGAGCATGTGCTCCATGCCCGAATATGTGGCTGCAAGGACTCCTGCGCGTCGAGCCAGTTTGACTCCGCGTGGGTGCCACTATATCCGATTCTGAGCCCGGATAAATTTGGGCAGCGATGTATCCGAAATAACTGTGCAGCGTCAAAAGGCCTGCCGACGTAGCGCAATCGGAGCTTTCGGATAAAAGAGAGGATGGGGTGGGGCGAAGAGTCAACGATATCTACCAGTCGGCTGAGATTGTCTGCATCTATGCACACGCTTGAAAATAGATGGAATCTGCTTCGAGGTCCCAACTCTTGCATACGAGGCCGCAAGTTTGCATTGGCTTGCGTGGGTCGGAATGGGCAAAATCGATGATTTGGTCAACGAGTTCCTGGACCAACGCCTCCATATTGGCTGGCATGCAGGTGTGATATGTGGGTGAGGAGAGACCGCCACCTTGGGAATTTCAATTTATTGGAAAATAAGAACGCTCTCACGCCGCCATCGCCCACATGAAACGCGAACAACGTTCAGTTGCCGTGAAGATCTCCCAAGAGGTAAGGCAGATCATTGATCTGGCAGGGTGATGTCGCGTGGCGAAGCTGTGCATTTCCTTTTTCGAGACATCTCCGAGCGGTTTTTGAAAATTTGAATGAAAATCGGGCTAGTACGGGCTCTTTACATCGTAATAGCTACAATGAAATCTTTGATGGAATGAAGGTGCTATAACAATAAAGCCACGCAATACTGTACATACCTGTATGGTAGCAACAGTCATGGTCAAGATGGGGCCGTTGCGTTGCCTGTTTTCGGCACCGTCACGATCACGGTTGGGCCGTTGCCTTGAAAAAATCGTGACACGGTGAAAAGAAATTCCGAAAAAAAATTGTGAGCCTGAATATCTGCTAGAGTGGCTTGTGGACCATTGATTACAGGATTAGAATAACTGTGCTCTATCTCATTTAAATCCCTCAATATTGACAAAAAGGAAAAACATCTTGTTGCCTATTCAAGCAACGGTCACGATCACGGTGGTTCTGTTGCCTGAAAATGAGGCAACAGGTGTGTCACGGTGCTTGGGGCGTTGATTCCATACAGACACGTACAGTATGCGCGATTGATGTTGATAGCAGTTTACAATGAGTGAATTGGGTGGTTCACATTATTCTGGTGGAATTTAAAGAGCCCAAGGGTAGCAGATGTATACTAGCCTTGAGAACGAAGATATCGTAGTCCAAGATGCGTCAGATGAGCATCCAGTGGAGTGGCGCGGTATTGAGCTGCTTTGATCAGGGCAGCCATCATCAGGCATCCGCATTTGAGGTTGGCTAAGTTCCATATGAAAGTAAAGTGAGCATGTTGGAATTCTCAGTGTCAGACTTTTGTTTGTACATATGGTAAACT